CATTTCTAACAAACTATAGACATTTATCAACAGCTGCCACCCACGCTCACTCGATATTGAAGATCAGATCAAATCAGAAAGCAAGAAAGAACAAGCAAGGATGAACTGTGGCCTAGCAACGAACCAACGAAGCAAGAAGCTATCGCCTAACAAATATGCAGAGGAAAGTGGAGATGGACTGGATTGGGCATACTCTGAGATCATTCGGAGACACCACGCGCTAGGCCAGTCCCTCGAGTGGAACCGAAATGAGAAACGATGCATTGGGCTTCGGAGGGTGACATGAAGGAGATTGCTGAGACAATAAAAAAAGCTTCTGGTCAATCAAAGAGTCAGGTTGGAAAGACTGTACAGCACAAAGTGAAATGGCGACGTGCTACTGAAGCTCCTATGTTCCACTAGGAACCTAAGGGACAAATAATAATAATAACAACATAATTTAGCCATACAAATAAACTTCTGAATTTTGTTGAATCAGGATGGAACAAGGTTCAGTGTGACCAGACCAAGATGCGACAAAAGTTCATGAAAACCCCGACTGTTGGTGTGAGGCATATAGGGAGGTGAAGACTATCTAGCTAGGATCCCTGAGACAGTGGGAACCAGTCCCAATGACGAAAATGTATTCAATCCTTAACGTCTTCAAACTGTTTATTCTCTACTTTGATATAACTCCTTCTTCTCATCCACTTGTTCGTTGTATGCTATTATGAAGTATGGCAACTTGAACCGATCCACGTGTGTGCAGAGTTCTACGTTGATTCTATCTGTCCATCTGTCTGTCTATCATATTCATAAATTCGAGGGAGCGTGTGTTACTTGGCAGAAATCCAAAGCCACATTACTTATCCTAGCAGCGACGGATTCCGACTCAGATTAGAAAGTTAACACACCCTATGGAATTCATACTGAGTTTTATTATTAACTAGATTTCCAGTGTCGAGCTTGATATCGTCTTACATGGAATCAGTATAGCACTGAAATGTTTATCTGCTAGAAACTCTACCTCAGAGACTATGTATTTCAGATGAAGTTTACCATTTCACTGATATGTGGTCAAGTTGATGAGTGGTTGCATTTCATGATTCATTGACAGACTTTTGTTCAATACTGAGGATCCAGTTGTTCGACAATGATCACTACAATCAATGCTGAAATCAGAATTTTCGATAGACACAATGGAATCTAATATAAATGTAAACCGTGAGCACTGTGGTAGAATTTAATTCCATATTAATGGTTAACGCGTTCGTCATGAAACCTGAAGGTCCGGATTTCGATCCCTAGTTGAGTAGTGGGTGCGTACTGCTGAGAAGTCCCATACTAGAAGGAAACAGCTTTCCAGCGCTCCCAGATTTTTAATGGTTCCCCAACTGATGTCATTCCATGATGAATACTACTTCTTAATTAAAAATCCCCATTCATTTCAAAAATCCATATTCGATTTGTTTATCTGATGTAAAACACAATGATACACTATTGTTATATACTTCATGACATTATGAGCATTATTTAATATCGCTCATAATCGTATAAATGTGTAATCTAGCTACTTTTGACATCGGATTTTTATATTTCTGTCACCTACTTCACATTCTTTGTTTCGATTGATAGTAGAAGTTTTCATATCTCTGGTATGCATGCATGGCTGTTGCATCATTTCTATTACATGTATTGGGTGGGTGTTGGTTCATGAAAAAACACTTAGTAATCAATCTCTCTCTCCACCTGATTATGATGAAGTGGACTAAGTACAGTGGTTTTATCCCACCCACCCTATCGTGTGTGTGGTTGTGTATGTTAATGCATGCATTGCAATAGCCGAGTTACTTCATACATTATTGATCTTACTCGGGTCTCATTCTATATTTAGCTAAATTCCTATCTTCCTCTATTCTAACTGACACTGACCGGCTAGTGTGACCTATGTATAATAGACCTCACAGTCATTACATAGAATTTGATAGATTAGATTATGTTGTCTAATTGGGTCTATCGGATACTTAATTCAGCTGACAAAGCTTATCTGTGAGTGAGTTTGTAGGTTTAAATGTCACCATAACTAATTCCAGCTTTATTGAGGATCCTACATAAAGTTTCTGATATACCTTCTTCATAAGGTGACACAATGGAGGTTGTGAACTCCTTTCTACTCATGTTGTTGTTATCATTTGTACTGGTGTTACTGATACTACTTTGTTTTGTTGTGTGTTCGTACGAAATTCTTAATAGACTGTGGAGGATAATTATTATCTACTAGTGCTTCTTTTTACGTGTTTCAGTTCATTGTTTAGATACCTGGACTGACTAGTCAGTTTTCTAGCTTCATCATTTAGAAGTTTGACTGAACCTGTCTTAACTGACATTGGATGAGATGACTTGAAGTCTAGATACCTAGTGGGATATATCGGTTTTCTGTGGACGGTAGTATCCAAACCACCGTATGTCCTTCGTTCTATACTGTAATCCAACATAGGCAATTCTCCCTCTTCATTTTCTACCTCGTAAGTGAACTGGATTGCGACTACTACTGAGTCTATATGTGTGAGGAAATTATCGATATGTTCCGATTTCAACACACTAGTAAATGTGTCATCCATATATCACCGTCATGTCTTCCCAACTATCGATAAATATATCTGCTATGATTGTGAATATTGATGATCCTACTACTACTCCTTCTGTTTGTCTGTATATTTTGTCTTGAAATTCGAAAACTATGGAGGTTAGGCACAACTGTATGCCTAATATGATCTCATCAACCGATATCTTAGTTCTATGAGTAAGTTCTAAGTCAATATTCAGTCAACTTCTGACTACCTCCAGTGCCACATTGATTGATATTTTGATATAATGACTAGTTACATCGAAACTGATCATTTTTCACCCTCTTCTATATATGTATGTCATTAAGCTTTAGTTTGAACTCGTAAGAATTAACTAGTGAAGTGAACTATGGATCTAATGGGATAACCTGGCTTACGAACCTTAATCGTACAATAAATTCTGTTAGGATTGTTAGTTTTTCTAGGCATAAAATGAAGCCATTTAGACTCACCTAGAGAGATGGCTTTAGTCGACGTATCAGATCGGCTGTAGATTTCTTGATTCTATTCATGAAGTGACTTAAGATCTCTTGATCTCTTCATACAGAATCTTCAACGACATTAAGTGTATGCAAGTGGAAAGAATTCAATGAGAAATTTTATTTCTTTGCTGACATTCCGGTTCATTAACAAATTAGTGACTTAGTGAGAAATTTAAAAGAACCTCAATAATTGGCAGTTCAAATTCCGTCATAATGGAAACGCTAGTTAACACAAAATAAAAGTTTTGAAAGATATTATGCAATGTTATCAAAATAGTTTAACAAACAGAACTTCTGAGGAAAGTTTTCAAATTTCAGCCTACATGTCGATGATCTGAATTCATCAGAAAGTCATGTTTCAAGCTTCAATCTTTAAACTAAGATTTCAGTGAATAGTAAATAAAATGGGGTCAATCATTATGAATGCAAATACTATCAAGTATAAGAAGCATGTGTCAAACTCTCGAAGAAGGGAGACCGAAGTCTTTGCAAGAACTGGCGTGGAATCATCCATCATCTTGCCGCATCATCCTGGAGAGACTAAAGGATGCGCTGGATTCAAAGCTATGATCGAAACAGGCTGGATTCAGGAACTACAAATCATGTGCAGACCAAATTGCAACGCTATGCTACGCATTATCATAGAACAGAGCATTCAGTGGCTGTCAACTCTCTTTCTACCTCAACTTCATCGACTCTGAAAAGGCTATCGACAGCGTCCACCGACAAGTAATTTGTCAGTTGCTTCAACACTGTGGAATAGCGCAAACCTTTATCAACCTCATTCAACAACTATATGAAGACGCCACATGCCAAGTAATTCAAACAGGAAGCTCAGTGATGCCTTTGAAGTGAAGTGAAGATAGGAGTAAGACAAGACTGTCTACTATCACCCATGATATTCCTGATTGTGGTGGACTGGACTGGATCATGCAGCAAACAGTGAGGAGCAAGAAGAGGGGGATACGCTGGCTAGACCGGGGAAATGATCCTAGAAGATTTGGATTTCGCCCATGACGACTTGTGTCTAATGTCACACAAACTCGAAGATCTACAGGCAAAATCTAACAAGTTGACAAAAGAGGCAGGGCAGCAAAGACGGGACTTCAAGTGAATATAGACAAATGTCGTCATATTTAATAGCCAATCGGTGTTCATGTAAACAAAGAAGATGGGGGGCAACCACTCTATCCCATGAAGTGTTGATCACAACTGCTGCAACTTATTTTGTGAATGATATTCTGATTGTCTTCTTCGGTTGTTGCATCCTTTGATCTGCCTAATATAATTTGAAGGGAATATGTCAGTTTAGGAACCACACCAGTTCCAATTGGTCTCCACTTCGTCATTCTACAAAGTGGTCGCCCACCCTCGTCTTTGTTTACATGAACACCAATTGGTTACTAAACGTCACACACGACATTTCATCACTCATTTCAATGCAAGTGAATCACAACTATGGACATTAATTCAGTTTTGACAACTTGGAAATGTTGGACGGAGAAAGGAAACACAAAGAATATCAGAGAAGTCCCGGAGCTCGGTATTCAGAAATAGACATACACTCAGTCTGTCAGCCAATGAGAAAAATGATAAACAGCAGAAAGGTGAGAGGTCAAGTAAAGGAACAGCAAATAAGAAAATCTATACAGTCAGTTGATGAAAGGAAACGACCAATCACAAAGCAGTTAGTCAGAGTTAGCCACTGAGTCACTCACGCAGACATACTGACGGCTTACTTTATACTGAAATTAGCGGTGATGATGATGAATGCTTCTTTACAACTAAGCAACCCAACTTAGAGAATACAATACAACCAAGATTGTCCATCTGAGATACAAATATTCTCTACCAAAGTTTAACATTATTTATTTTGTCGCTTTCATTTATTTCTTTTGTCGCTGTTATTTAGATATTCCGACTTAGAAGTACGTAGTTCGCTAAGTGGTCATGATATCAAGAAATCGTCTGGTATTGTCAATCCTACAGGACAACAATCAACTGTTGGTGTTGTTCATTCATCAGCATCCAGTATAGATGCAAGATATGTCGAAGAACTTGAAAATGATTTTTTCGCTTTAGAAGATAAACATGATCTTTTAATAAGAGAACGTGATGAATTAAATTCAGAATTAGAAATAAAAGTACGTACAATCAGTGAACTTCAAGCTACACTGGATCAATATCGTGAGAAGGTGACACATCTTGAAAGACGTTGTGGACATTTAGAGGAAGAAGTAAAAAGTTATCGGTAAGTTTTCGATGCTTTCTTTCTTCCCTCTTTTGAAAGTTTGTCAGCATTTTCAAGGCTTGAAATTAAAGTTTTAGGAAAGTTTAGCGAGATATAAAGGTTAAGTATTAATGATGGATAGCAGCTAGCAGTGGAATCCAAGATGCATGTTTCGTCCTATTTGGGACTCGTCAGCTGGATAACACTCTGGCTTTTGGAAGGTATAGTCCCGATTTCGAGTTTAGGTGGGAAAAACATCACTCACTGAGAGGTAATGAAACCGAAATCTGATATGAGCACAGATTTGTGGTGCAATTTTATACTGACTAAGGACTGATGTCATTTGAAGAATCATTGGAAGCCTAGTAGACGACTCTTTAGTAGTACTAACCAGCAAGTCCAACAGCCGTTGAGTTCTGGACCGTCATGGGATCAGGGTCCATTAGTCAACGTTACTGCTTATGAATTCATGTCGTCGATGGGACACTATTAACTTATGGCCTGCTGTGTCTATGCCTCCATATCACAAGCAATTTCAGTTCAGTATTATTGATGAATGGTGGTTAGGTGTGGAATTCAGAATACGCGTTTCTTCCTACCAAGGACTCACCAACTAGATGTGCCTGCTTCTGCTGATAACTATTGTTCATCATTACTATCAAACTAAAACTGCTCAAAGTATCGAGGCAACCGCACAGTAGGTTATACGTTAATAGTGAACAATCGATTCACTCCAGTTAGTGACGGAGATTTATGAAACTACAGCATAAAAACTGTACCTATCACAAAAGAAGTGACTATCACGACTTAGTGCCATACTAGTCACCAAGATCAATATAACATTGCTGTATAGTTGTTGTATGGTAGTTTGAAAACCTTTTTCAATCATGCTTTCTTTATAACTTTTCTGCAAAAATAAATTGACAGTTAAAAAGCACAATTATTCATAGAATGAATCTTATTTATTCATGAAAGATTGACAAAGCACGACTTTAAAGGCCATTCTACCGACTGCTAAAATAACCAATCAGGTTGTGGTATTTTAGCATGGAAGACAATTTCTCGAAGAGTAGAGAAAAGTGACTCGTTGTTTCATCAGTTGTTAGGGTGACCTTTAAAGTCACTCGTATTTTCAACCCACCTATGCAGTGAATCATGCAATTCAGCCCTCCTAAATGATGACAACAGAACACAAAGTCTGTTGTCCGTGTCTATTTTGGGCCATCTGATTCATTTGCATTTACAAACAAATTATCGGGCTGCAATGCGCCATAATTAGTCAAGATGAAACAAACGATTTCAAGCGCAAAATACGCGAAAATGAACAATAATGAATTTAGTAATGGATGAAGAACCAATCGGAAGCTCTTGAACGGTGACAGCTTCATGAAAATGTTGTGAAAATGCTGTGTCTATGCCTCCATATCACAAGCAATTTCAGTTCAGTATTATTGATGAATGGTGGTTAGGTGTGGAATTCAGAATACGCGTTTCTTCCTACCAAGGACTCACCAACTAGATGTGCCTGCTTCTGCTGATAACTATTGTTCATCATTACTATCAAACTAAAACTGCTCAAAGTATCGAGGCAACCGCACAGTAGGTTATACGTTAATAGTGAACAATCGATTCACTCCAGTTAGTGACGGAGATTTATGAAACTACAGCATAAAAACTGTACCTATCACAAAAGAAGTGACTATCACGACTTAGTGCCATACTAGTCACCAAGATCAATATAACATTGCTGTATAGTTGTTGTATGGTAGTTTGAAAACCTTTTTCAATCATGCTTTCTTTATAACTTTTCTGCAAAAATAAATTGACAGTTAAAAAGCACAATTATTCATAGAATGAATCTTATTTATTCATGAAAGATTGACAAAGCACGACTTTAAAGGCCATTCTACCGACTGCTAAAATAACCAATCAGGTTGTGGTATTTAGCATGGAAGACAATTTCTCGAAGAGTAGAGAAAAGTGACTCGTTGTTTCATCAGTTGTTAGGGTGACCTTTAAAGTCACTCGTATTTTCAACCCACCTATGCAGTGAATCATGCAATTCAGCCCTCCTAAATGATGACAACAGAACACAAAGTCTGTTGTCCGTGTCTATTTTGGGCCATCTGATTCATTTGCATTTACAAACAAATTATCGGGCTGCAATGCGCCATAATTAGTCAAGATGAAACAAACGATTTCAAGCGCAAAATACGCGAAAATGAACAATAATGAATTTAGTAATGGATGAAGAACCAATCGGAAGCTCTTGAACGGTGACAGCTTCATGAAAATGTTGTGAAAATGCTGTGTCTATGCCTCCATATCACAAGCAATTTCAGTTCAGTATTATTGATGAATTGTGGTTAGGTGTGGAATTCAGAATACGCGTTTCTTCCTACCAAGGACTCACCAACTAGATGTGCCTGCTTCTGCTGATAACTATTGTTCATCATTACTATCAAACTAAAACTGCTCAAAGTATCGAGGCAACCGCACAGTAGGTTATACGTTAATAGTGAACAATCGATTCACTCCAGTTAGTGACGGAGATTTATGAAACTACAGCATAAAAACTGTACCTATCACAAAAGAAGTGACTATCACGACTTAGTGCCATACTAGTCACCAAGATCAATATAACATTGCTGTATAGTTGTTGTATGGTAGTTTGAAAACCTTTTTCAATCATGCTTTCTTTATAACTTTTCTGCAAAAATAAATTGACAGTTAAAAAGCACAATTATTCATAGAATGAATCTTATTTATTCATGAAAGATTGACAAAGCACGACTTTAAAGGCCATTCTACCGACTGCTAAAATAACCAATCAGTTGTGGTATTTTAGCATGGAAGACAATTTCTCGAAGAGTAGAGAAAAGTGACTCGTTGTTTCATCAGTTGTTAGGGTGACCTTTAAAGTCACTCGTATTTTCAACCCACCTATGCAGTGAATCATGCAATTCAGCCCTCCTAAATGATGACAACAGAACACAAAGTCTGTTGTCCGTGTCTATTTTGGGCCATCTGATTCATTTGCATTTACAAACAAATTATCGGGCTGCAATGCGCCATAATTAGTCAAGATGAAACAAACGATTTCAAGCGCAAAATACGCGAAAATGAACAATAATGAATTTAGTAATGGATGAAGAACCAATGGAAGCTCTTGAACGGTGACAGCTTCATGAAAATGTTATTATTTTCCGTTGTTTTACAGAATTGAATTCCTTGACTTCTGTTGGCAAATGGACTCTTGTGTAATGAGTAACATCACTCACTGGTGCGGAGTTACATTGAATAGATGAGTCTTAAATAGAACGAAACGCCTGTCTTGGATTATAGTGCTAGTCACTAATATGAATACAAAATAATGTTACTAATCAAGAGGTGACTAAGATGAAATGAGAGAGTAGTAAAGTACCACTGATCTCATGGATTGCCAAGACTTCTGCTATGTTCAGGTCGCAAGTCGACATTCCCTTCGAAATGTTTGATTTTACTCCTTAGATGACTTTGAAGTGAGATTCTTGTGAAGCGTATTGACTAAAGTTCTAACCAGATTTTAATTGTCCTCTGGTGGATATTTTTGAAGATGTGTTTAAATAGAACATGCTTCCATGTGAACGTGTGAAATTCTCGAGACTCGCCAGCCGGATTCCCCTGCCTCTCAGTAAGTGACGTTATTCTCACTAAGACTCGAACTAGAGACTGATGTCTTCAAACTTCAGTGCATTGGTGGATCGATGGATAAAGCTCTAGCGTTTGAGGAGATCCGTCTCCAGTTCAAACACCATTAAGAATAACGTCACTCACTGGGGGGCAGTTACATCCAACTGACGAATCCTAAATAAGGCGAAACACGCGTTCTGAACTGATAGTTTCACCCCACTCAACAACGAGAAAACACAAGCAATAATATCATACGTAATGATATATGAAAAAAAAATTTACTGAATTTTGTGAAATTCATTGTTACAAAACGTCATTCAATCAACAGATTTCAGTTTATAGTTTCTTTATCATGATTCACAATTCTTCAGTGGTGTCCAATAATCACTGTTGGTGAGGTTTAAAAGAAAATATTCCATACATCTTCTGACCTACAAAACCAATATCGTAGATTATTCAAATCCCATGAATGTAGGTTATGATAATTCCTTCCTTTTCTTGACTATCTTGGCCTTCCAGATTACATATTCCAACTGTTTTAAGAAGACTTGAGTCGCATTTCATTGAAGCTGTCAGTTTCGATAACTAATTACACAAATAGCCTGTCGTAGTGTCTATTCTCTGAAATAGCTGAGAGTTATCCTGTGCATTTACCTTGTAGATCAGTTCGCAGAGCATCAAGCCGGTAACTCGGTGATCGCTGGTTTGAATTTGGCCGCGGTCCAGATTTTCATCTCACCTTCAATCATCATCCAGTATTAAAATTAATAATTATCGTTGTTCATTGAGTAGTAATCTGTACCTACAGAAAATGCTCAATATTCTTTGAAGTGTACTAATATCGTATCAACACAAACTGACTAAACATAACCAAGGTGTACGTAATATTATACTACTCAATGATGTGAGCAGTTCAATGCAGTTAAAAATCGACCAGAATACACCTGATTTGATTCCTGAACACAGACAATTCTCACTACTAGAAAAGTGAATTTTCACTACATAAAAGTAAACCGACTTATAAATTTCTAGTTGGTATTCATCATGGATCGGTATTAAGTGAAAAACCAATGACAACGTGAAAGCAATTAACATCTGTTTCGTCCCAGTATGGAACTCCTCGGTCGTGCATGCCAACGACCCAAATCAGCCAGGCATTGAACCAGAGACCTTCATCATCATCATGAATATCAATATACGAACAGACATTACTACCTAACGGTCCGAATTGCTACACCTCATATCAGTACATCAAGTAAAAAGGCAGTGAAGTGCAAGATGAATATAAGAAAATTCAGTCAAAAGAAATATAAAGCACGAAAAGAGAGAAAGGAAGGATGAGCAAATGGCCAGATTCGGTATAGCGTCAGTAAGATGAGGATAAGGTGTGTATGTGTGTGTACACATCTACGCCTCTGACATCGGTTCTCAGACATAACATCACCTTGTCTCCAACCACTGGTTCCTCTTGTCCCGTGGACTCAAACCACCCAGTCTGCATCGTCACACATGGCTCAAACTAGCAGTCAGCGACTACATACATTGATGCCATGTTTTAGTCTGTCCACCTAGACCTTTTCCCAGCCTGGATCTACTTCGGCCAATATTGTGTGATGAGGCAGTCGGTGACTAGGTATGCGTAATACGTGTCCCACAAAACCATCTCAGTCGACGAAGGTTCATCACCTCGTCAACTGACTTACCTCTTCTCTCTCCCTAAAACTCTACACCTGATGTCTGCGTTGCTCACGTGGTGACACCACGGAATACGGCCCATATTACGAAGGCAACGCTGGTCCAACACTTGAAGCCTTCTCATGTCTTCCACCTTCAATGGTCATGTTTCACAGCCACACAGTAGAACAGAGTGGACTGCTGTGCAGTACACACCACCCTAATAGACAATGGGATATCACGGTGGCCCCATAGGTGGTGTAAGTTGGCGAAAACCAGTCCAGCCTTTTGTATTCGTGCAGAAATTTCATCGGCCACTGAGCCACCACGACACGCTTGATCCTACTTCCCAGGTAAGTGAAGTGGAGTGAAGTGAAGTGAAGTGGTTGACACACTCAGCCACTACACTCTCTATTGTTAGCCACGGTGGGGCACAGTTGAAGACCAATCTTGGAGCAACAGTTTTCATTCACGTGGTGAGAACCTCTTCACAAACATTCTCAAATTCCCACTGAAGACTCTGCATCTTGTCAGCGTCTTCACCTAACACGACTTTGCCATCTGAGTATTCTAGGTCTTACTAAAATTCTCCTGTGATTAGGTCAGTGTTTTTGTGATCAGATGATGATAGGGAGATGTCCATGAGAGTATCTATGATGAAATTGAATATGAGTGGAGACAGTGTGCAGCCTTGATGGACACCACTCGATGAGCATAGCTCCCTGGACATCTCAGCATAGGCTCTAAAACTTTGGGAAATCTCATTTCGAAGAAGTTTATGAATTAGTGCTGAACAGTAACTGATTATTTTTTAACTGCAAGTTTAGAACCGATTGTGAAGGTATTAAAAAAGTCAGCTGCATTAAAGAAGCACTTGATCGATAGATTTTAGTGAGTGCTTACCACTGAGGACCAGATAGATAAGTCGATTACCTGGTACTGATAGATTCTTTTTAATATTCTTGTCCTGCAGGTGTTTATTCATGGCCTCCAAAGAATAATATTAGAGTGGCTTACCTCATCACTGAATAGATCCAGTTTGACTTGCAAACGGGCAACCAGCTTTCATGTAGTTACACATATGCCTTACTAACGAATTGAAACAGACCCGAAATTTCAGTCAAGCAGAGCCCTTTGTCAAATAAGTATTCTGTCACTGTTTAGTTAATTGCTTTCTGGTTACCGTCATGACTGAGTGTCAAATTAATTCTCTCGAAGTTGTTTACTTCGAGGATATCAAGAAAAGTCTGCAGATATTATACGACGCTTTCAATCCAATGTCAACTCGTTTTCGAAACTGAGATCAAACCTTACAAGGGAGTGGTAATCCATAAAAACGTTAACTGAAACAGAATTTCCTAATTTAGATAATATAACTCACGTTGGGGAAATCGAGTAACTAATTAATACTGATTGAGAGTGAATTGAAGTTCTTGGTTGCGGAAGGATTCTGACAACTGCCTTCAGGTGACTCCGCTATCTCAAATAATGCAACAAGTAATCAGTATGTGCTCCTCTCCCCCTCAGTAATTCAGTTCGATGTAGGTTAGGATGAGAAGACCTTGAAAGAGCAATAGCTGATAAAGAACAACAGACTAATAATCTGAAATTCATTGAATTGAATATCACCGTTGTCCAAATTTTAATTTCACCCTAAACTATTATTATTGTTATATTATTTGTCTCTTTGGCTCCTATTCAAACATACGGCTTCAGTAGCATGTCTCCATTCCCCTCCCTTTTCTGTAATCTTTCGAACCTGGCTACACGACTGCCTGCCCACAAGCTCTCATTTTTTCTTTACACCGTCTGCTGCATGTCACCCTCAGCTGGGACTCCCAACTCACAGTTTCCCATCTGGGTTCCACTGGATGGCCTGGCATGTCGCGTGATGTCCCCATATGGTCTTCTCAGTCTATGCCCAATCCATCTCCACTTCCTTCCGCATATTTGTTGAGCGATAGGTTATTGGTTGGTTCGTTGCCAGAGTTCCTTGTTACCCTAAACTATAGCTAGTCTAAATAACAATTTTATTTTTTAGCTTGATAAAACATTTCATTGTTGATAAAATAAACTTTTTTCACACTTACTTTTATAATACAATTTAGTGAACGTTTAAAACTTCCGGAAAGTGATCAAAATCACTCACCTAATACAACAATACTAGATCAACAGCATAATGTTATCGGTTTAACAGATATACATTGTAGTGCAGAATTACAACAACGTCTTAATGAAGTTGAACAGTTATGTCAAGAGGTGATGGAAGAGAATGAACAATTGAAAGAAGATGTAGAAGAAATGCATAGAGAGATTGAAGAAATGCATGATCATTTTCAGGTAAGAAATGCTTAACAATTCTTCCATTTTATAATATCTATATATATACTCTATTTCAAGCAATTCCAGAACGATGAGCAGTTTCAAAGATTCAACTAACAAAAAACGGAGTAGATTTCACCTAGTAATATCTAAATATGAACCATCGAGAACTAAGGAATACTGAGCAGTTGTTTCGCTACTTTCCAATCCTCTTCATATTTGTCAATTAACCTTCTAATATATCGACATCATATCATATTATGAAGGACCTCATAACTTGATATGAAGGAGTTATTTTGTATGACAGTCTTCTGTTATCACCTCTGTAGCTCGTTGGTGATGTGCTTAGCGTGGAAATGGGAAATCTTGACTGCAATATGTAGTTGGGTCAAAGGTTTGCTTAGCTGAGGAGTCCCTTATCAGAACAAAACAGCTGTCCAATATTTAGTCAGTCTATGATGGTTACCAACTTGAAGCCAATAAATAAATCCCTTCAAAGATTAAGGTACCTGAACAGAGATATTTAAGTAATTGCATTGCCTGGTAGCAAAATTGTGCATTACTAACAATGTTTGTGAAATTATTATTTGTTGATATGCTTGTAATTCTCTGTTGTTTTACTGCATTGAATCGTTCAACCTCTATTGGTATGTGGGCTCTTATGCCGATGCCTCGATACGACCCGAATGTTAATCATGATAATTTGTTTGTTGGTGGCTAGCAGGAGAATCCAGGACGCGCGTTCGTCCTATTTAGGTCTCGTCGACTCACTCAATGTAATAAAAAGAGGACAAGCCATCTGATTTTGCTAACTACTTGATAAACAAATGATGTGGAAAAGGTAGATTCTAGAACAGTAAAGCATTTGCTCCGTTTAACACGTAGTTAAACTTCATACTCATTCAGAGAATGTCAGTAAACAGGACTATGATGTAGAAGTATAAAGAAAAGACAAGAGAATAGTTAAAAAAGAAATCTGTTAAGAAGATGTGTTAGATGTCTGAAGTAAGATGTTATTTTCATTTTCAATAGAAATCCTCGATTAACTTCAGCCAGCAGTGCTGTACTTATCACTTTATTTATTTCAAGTTGTTATTCATCGTAGACTGACATCAGTTGGAGGAACAAAGGAAGCCCGGGAGCACTGGACAGCTGTTTCGTCCAACCAGTATAAGACTCCTCAGAAGTGCGCATGATGGCCATGAGGGCGAATACTCAACGATGGACCATTGGATTCCTACCCAGTGGCTCGATGGTAACGTCCTGACCACGGAGCCTGAGGGTCGCAGGTTCGATCCCTGGCGAGGTCGTGAATGCACACTGCTGGAGAGTCATACAGTGAGACGAAACAGCTGTCCAGTGCTCCCAGGTTTTCATTGTTCCTCCAACTGATATCAGTCTGCTATGAATACCAACTCGAAATAATCATTCTGTTTGAAAAGATTTTTCTGGGAGTGAAGTTGTTGAAATACTACATATTCAGAAGTTCATACCAAACTGGACAGAAAGATGTACCAGGGACTATCATATCAAACTGGACAGTTCCATATTTGAAACCGTACTGCAGTGATAGTAGTAGTGTAGTGGGCTCTGCTGATCGCAATGGATATAAGTAGTATATGTTGAGAGGGAGGCAGAAATCATAGGCGACTACCAGCAATGGGTAAAGATTCTGCCCAGAGAAACGCAATAGACAATGTGGGAGTATTAAGAGTAGATCAAGATAGAAGCAGAGTAGAAGATGTAGCACACCGTGCAAATGACTGTCTTAGCGGAAAGTGTAAAATATTTGATGACTACCATACGAGATGTGAATAATTAACGTTCCTTCCTGTGTCTCAGTCTTCTCCCAATAAACCATCACCTAGGATTGTCCGTGCAGACGTGTAATGACAATTAATGGAAATCTAATTTTCCGACTTCTGATCTTGACCACACAATCTGATAAACCTATGATTCCTAATGCATGTCTTCCAACCACGTGAACCGCTAGCACACATGGTCTTATGTTCTGAGACTGACCCTTATCTTTCGGCCAGATTGCCGCCCCGTATCTATTAGACGCACGACCTTCCGATCATTTATTCGCATTCTAGCATACACAGCATCTCTACCTATGGCTGCTACAATATCTAGCCTAGTTGGAAAAACAGAACTTATATTATATCGTTCAAAACGTTTTCTGTTTCGGCTCTCCGAACAACTTCTTCGCCAGCGCCCGGATTTTCTGCATGCAAAGAATTTACCCTGTCTGCTGATATTCATTCAAATTGTAGCCACCTCCTCCTGAAGGTTTTCGACTTGTTTTCTCCAGTTATTTACCTCTGGTTACTCCACTGCAACTACTGCTGTACTCATTACCTGTCTGGGGACCTTGGCCATCTCACTAGTGTCCATGTGTTCGGCTGCGTTCACTAGTTGTAACTGTTGGGTGATGACAATTGAGACACTTCCGGTGAACTGCACAGGCAGTAACTGCGTCCGAGATTCCTCATTCAAAGTGGGGAATGCTTGTCGGAGTAGTTGAGTCAACTTCACAGTCAATACAAGCAGGTCTTAGTTTATTCCAAGTTTCGTGCTGTCAAACTCCGCCTCCAGTCGTTCAACCATTCTCTCCTAAATCTTCTTCCCATCAACCCAGTCATATGCCGCTTTCGCTCCACCCTTTAGCAGCGTACCAAGCACCACAACCTTTGCTACTAGATCTCGGACACCCACCAGCCCCGCGACCGAATCGAAGTCCATGAGAATGACCTTGATATCTCCATCCTAAAACACTTCAGGCCACGGAATCTTCATCACGTTCAGATACAGTGACACTGATTGTTGAAAACAAGAAGACTGAAATACAGGAAGGAATGTTAATTATTCACATCTCATACGGGATGTTTTATTTACGAGGGGAGGTTATAAATAATGATCTTAAAGCACTGTTCATCAGGAAATTATGCCAAAAATGAGAACCATTTGAACACTGTTTACACTGAACTTGTTAGCGATGCCCATCTGCAATTCCACAAATCTGGTGTTTGGGTTCTATCACAGATCTGGAAGTATACAAGCAACGCATCCACGTATAAACTCTTTCCAGAGCATTCTATTAACGCCTCGTCAAGCTGATCACGGTTATCCCATAACCCACCCTACAGTCAGTCCTGAACGCACCTATATTTATCGGGTAGTCAGTTCACTGACGGTACTCACCTCTCCATGTGCAGATGTGTCTGGGACACGTCTCACTGAAGTCTTCTAATCCATGCAGAACCATGTGCACCTCACCTTCGTGATAATAACATCCTAAAGGTGACATCAGCTGTGGATCCATAGTGGCAAAAGGGTTACAGTGGTGACCCTTTTTGGGTTACTGAAATACAGCCTAAGTTATGGCTAATGACGCCAGCACTCTGGTTCGAATATCTCTAGTTTTCGTAAAATAATACTACAGTGGTCTCTGGGATTGCTCTAACAACAACGACTGCCAGCATTAGGAAGCTGGATTCAGTCACCTTTTCGACTGCACTGTTCCCAGCACACTGAGCCAAATCCTGATAGCTGACTGAAACCGTTCATGTTTTGTAGATCCGTGTCACTGAACTTTTGCACATATGTCTCACCAACTAAGGTTGGTTGGTACCAACTGGGGTCAAGGGGAGGCTTACCGACACACGCAAGTAGGCTTGACTCTTGATCGTGGTTTCTTACAAGTCAGGACGACCTAACGCCATCGTGTGGAACTTCTTCACACTGACACCCTGATGGGTAACTATAGAATGGATCTAAGCTGCCCTAAGAATGTCATAGTTGTTCCACTCTCATTTGTCGACTCACGATGTAGTACATCTTCGATTATCCATCCTCATTCAGGATATGGAAATTAAAATTCTCTTGAATACCGTTCTAATCTATACATTGTTTACCTATGTGAATTTTTGAAGAGAATCTTATGAATTCAGTGATTTCTCCAATAAAAACCTTTAAATATTCTGTTTGTTTACAGAATAAGTTTGACGAAAATAAACTAATTAGTCATTGTATACCGTAGGTGAACGCCACACAGTCATATATGCAAACATATGCATGTGAAATATAATCACCGATACACAAAGATATTTACCTAGGTAGATAAGCTAACCCCAGTACTGTATATGAAAACTTAGCGTCCTTAGTTGGCATTTTATGATGCATAGGTTATCGACTATTTTATACACATTGAGATAGCAAAAGTATGTAGTGTTAACAAAAGAAAAAAATGAATAATATTCCAAATAAAGCATACAAAGATGTTTCTTCATGTAAACAAATCCTTTGGTTTACACTGAAAACCTTAGTATATAATTCGGATAGAATGAACATCATGCTGTTTGCTAGTAGTAGTAGTATTGTGAATCGTAATAGTAGTTATTTTTTGTAACTCACACACATTAAGTAATTATATCTGGGATAACTATATCTTGAACTAAGCGGTGAAACTGAAAAATGAACTCACACAACTATTTGATTGATTTCCCATGTTCAGCGAATGGTTCTCTCAAGATCTAGTTGTATAAGCATTAACAGATAGAGGTAACCACCATTTGACTGTGCATATATGCTGCCGTAGTGATGGAATCCAAGATCCGGAACATTTATGCAGCAAAACAGTCACTCTAATACACTAAAAAACATGTATGGTTAAAGTAAAGTAATAATAGTAATGTGACAATGTAGTTAACGAAAAGGTTAATCAAGGGATATACTGATGTCTGAAGAAGGCAGACGAAAAGTTGTTACCAACAGATCTATGGTGGGCGTTTTCTTATCACTCTAAAGGCTTTTGTATAGTTTCAGTTGATGAGTTATGGTTAGGACGAAACTTATGAATATTTTGCTTAGTAAAACGATTTTATTTAAAGTGACTCAATGAAATGGAGGTCAACTTATGCAAAATTATGATTCCACTTTACTATAATAACTTTTCACTCCTTTTGAATACATTTAACTTTGTTGTATTGTACATTTATTTTTAACCCCTTACATTATCTTACCTTTTTATAAATTTCTTGGTCTTCAGGAGGAAGATCGTGATGCTGTACGAGAATTGCAACGTGACTTGGAAGCAGCTAACAAAGCTTGTAGAATATTACAGTTTAAGCTGAGGAAAGCTGAAAGACGCTTTGAACAATGTGAAGCTGAACGTGCCAACTTGGAAGAACGTTTAGCTAGACTGGAGTCAGAATTGTACAGTGAAGCTGATGTTGCACACATTCATAATTTAGAGGTAGGTGATAATGAAGTTTCAATATCAAGTGTTTTTCTTTTTTGCTGATGACAGATAGTGGCTAGTGGGGGAATCTAGGACGCCTATATCGTTGTAATTGGGACTTGTCAGCCGGATGTACCCGCCTTCACAATCAGTGGTATTATTTTCACTAACGAATGAGTGTCATGACAGCCTTTGAAGCGACTAGATCCGGGTTTCAGTTTAATTGGGGACAACATCAACTACAGAGAGGCAAGCACATCCAGCTGACGAGTATAGCCCAAATAAGACGAAACGTATGTTCTGGATTCCACTGCTAGCCACCACCAATCACTAGTGTCAAAACTGAAGCCACGTTGGTTAGAAAACATAATTTGGCTTGTTTCATAGGGATTCCCATGGCGTTAGCCATACACCGAGGACTTGGATGTTCTCTTTTCGGTTAGTCACACCCACAATCAAGGAAATATACTTGTCAGTGAAGTAGAAAAATATGTTTCTCACGTTTTATGACCCTGTAGAAGCCGCTTCCTCAGAGAATAAAATCTGTACAAATTGTTGCACGTTTAAGTACTAAGTGGAGACAGTTTAAAGGCCGCACTAGCAACTGCTGAAATAACCAATCAGGTTTCAGTATTTCGCCTGGGAAGGTAGCTGTTCCTAAAATAAAGAAACGCAATTATTTGTTTTCAGGTTGGTATTCATCGTAGACTGGCATCAGTTGGAAGAATACTGGAGATCTAAGAGCACTGAACAGCTGCTTCGTCCTAGTATGAGGTTCCTCAGCAGTGCGCACTCATGATTCCACCAGTGATCGTACCCAGAACATTCAGGTTCCGCCGCCAATACGTCATCATCGAGCTAGTCGCTAGGCCAGAATCCAGTGGTCCATATTTCCTACTTCTGTCAGCTCACAACATGGCGCGACCCGGATCATATACTGTTGTTGAGTACCTGTCTTCATGTTCCAACTGGTTTACCCAATGTTAGGAATCACCTCTCAAAGCTGGTTACCAATGAGCACTAGATCATTTCAATTTGGACTGAAGTGGGACGTAGAAACATTGGAAACGTGGATGAATGGTAGCGTACTGGCCATGGAATCTGAACTCTTTGGGTTCGAACCCCTGGGGGGTCACGGGTGCGCACTGCTGAGGAGTCCCATAACAGTTGGACGAAACCAACGGCTGTGCAGTACCCCCAGGTATTCAATATTTTTCCACCTTATATCGGTCCATGATGAATAAAAACCTGAAATCAATCGAGAAATCCATACGAGCTTCCCAATTGAAGTAAATATTTTCTGAGATGATGGATAATATTTGTAGCTCAGGTGGATTGTCTTGGTTGTATTATGTTCTCTAATCTAGGTTGTTTAATCGTGGAGAAGCTTTCATCGTCTTTCTAGACAACATCATCGGCAATAACTACAGATTAGGTGAGCTGTCAATATGTTTTCGTGAGCGTCATTCAGTAGCTTGCCCTGACCAACTGGTTTGCGACTGATTGTTTCCTTATGTCATTGACTGACTGTATAAATTTTCCTGTTGGTTGTTCCTCTGCTTCACCTCTCACCTTTCTATCGTTCGACATTTTTCTCATTGTTCGACAGATTGGGTCTATTTCTATACATGTATTGATTGGTGGCTAACCTGAATACCAAGCCTCTAGGAATTCTCTGATGGTATTCTTTGTGTTTCCTCTCTCCGTCTGACACTGTCATCATTAAATGCATATCCATAATTATTCAAGTGCATTGAAATGAGTGGTGAAATGTAGCGAGGTTTACTAGCCAATTGGTGTTTATGTAGACGAAGGCGAAATGGAACTGAGTTTATATAAATGTCATTAGAATGTGGTCTTTAATCCCCTATTATATTAGTTGTATTTCTCCTCCCACTCTTCGGTTTAATATATATTGACTTGAGACAAGTAAATGTGTGCGGGGGATGAGATTATTCGAAATGTGTATTGTGCAAATACATCACACTGTTCAGATTAACTTTATCTTTTAATCAAGACCACAATTTTGTTCAAATGGAATATCCAAACATCTGGCAAGCTGAAAAACTTCATTTTCAGAAAAAAATTCTTTTCACAATCAGTATATTAGTCGACTGAAACTTAGTATATACATCTAAACTAACTGATTACTTAGATGACAAAGTTTGAAGTATATACGTACTATGATTGGTCACAGGAGTGCAACCAATTTCATGTTGTCTAGTCCTGAGTGCAGACTGAATTCTATCGATCAATACATTTAAGCTAGTCCTACAGGAGGTCAGTCACGGTCCGAATAGCTCAGTGGTAAAGTCACTGACTAAAACACTGGGTGACGCAGGTTCGAAATCTCAGGCGGGACATAGGTTCCGTCGAGGTAGCAGATACGCCTTGCTGAAGAGTACCAGAAAGCACAAAACCTAGGTCCATGGCTTCCTGCTGATTGCCTCCAACCAACTAACAAGTATATACGTATATCCGGTAAATTCTCATCAAATGTTTTACAGTTTACATTTGCAAACTATTCAGTATACTCTTCATTTGATGTCAACATGGTTAAATTAATTCGGATATATGAATTAAAAGATAACATTGAAGGTTATAATAACTGAACATCTCGGAAAGTTCATATATTCTCAATAGTTAATCCTTGTAGGTGTGTCAGTAATGAGTTGTGGGTGTACAGGGATAAAGAGAAATAAAATAGTTACTGGGCCACGATTGCAGGTAACGTGTAAATTTGAACCGCAGTCGGATTCAGACCAGCGACCACCGGGATTCCACCCGATAGTCTACCAACCGGGCTACGAGACCCGACTGGTTACCAAGCTTTTATTTCTCTTCGATCACCCAAGGGTTTTACCCGACGACTTGCTTTCGCTTAATCGCATTTATACTGGCTACCCACTAGTCAAGACTTGTTATCCCAATCCGATTCTGACTGAATTAGGATGAGAGGGGGAAGTATCATCATTCTTAATTTATCGTTTAAATTATCTGCCCTGTAAATCTGACTAACTCGAAACATCAGTGTATGGATTGAGTACAAATGATAGGAAATGTATGTACTGATTGATCCATGATTGTTTACGATACATACCACGTCTGATACTGCCATCTGTTCGTCTTGATAGCAAAACATCAAGAAATGGCAGACATCTATCTTTCTCTATCTCACATGTGAACTCGATTTCCCGACGAGTATTGTTGAATGCATCGAGAAGAATTTCAGGATAAGTATCATTTTTGTACAGAATGAAAGTGTCATCCATTTATCTACAATAGAAGGACAGTTTATTTATCTTCCACTTTCCAATTTCTCCATAAACATGTTTCCAGAAGAGGATCTAATGGTGAACCCATTGCCACACTTCCTATCTGACAGTAAATTTCTTTGTGTAACTGAAGTTTTGCATTCATCTACAACAGACAATCAGCTCTCGTAGGTTTGCAAGAAGTATACCTACCTCCATCTTGTTATCAAGCAGTGAGCCACAAGGAAAGTCAGTTACTTACAGAAGAAGAACATTGGTAAACAAGGAAGTAACATAGATAGAAATCATTGTTTGCTTAACAATGTTCTCGCATTTGACTTTTGAAATAAATTCAAGTGTCCTTTAAGCTATATTTAACTACCTTATGTTGTAGTGATTTCAGTATATCTGCTAACCATCTTGCTACTTCATGATACGGTGAACTGAATACATCTAAGATAAGGCTTTGGGTATATTAGGTTTATGGATTTTAGGCAATCCATACATTCTTGGCATGTTAGTAGCTACTGGCCTAATTCGTTCGAAATTGTCTGGTGAGAATGTGCCACTGATTAACAGTGTCTTCATTGTCTTTAAAAATTCCTTTTTTATTTTCTCAGTTTGATATCACTGGTTTACCAGTTTTTGAGGATGCTACTCATGTTTTAATTGTCGTCGTCTATATTCAACACTATAGAGTGTCACAAACGTTTATCAACATCACTCAACACCTATATGCCAAATGATGATACATGTCAAGTGATTCACAATGGAAGGCTGAATGACGCCTTTGAAGTGAAGACAGGAGTAAGACAAGGTTGCCTACTGTCACCGATGATCTTCCTGATTGTGATCGACTGGAGTGGACTAAACTGGACTGGATCATGCGAGAAACTGAGGAGCGAGAAGATGGACATATGCTGTCTGACCGATGAAAACACCAAACACGAACTGGATTTCGCCGATGATTATTTAGGTCTCACGTCGCACAAACTTGAAGATCTACAGGCGAAAACTAACAAGTTGGCAGAAGAGAAAGGGCAGCGAAGGAAGACGGGACTTCCTTTAGGTGAACTAAGAGAAGATAGAGGTGTTGAAGATACTTGACCAACGAAGACAACGATAAGCACCAATCACCGTCGACGGGAGAAATCTAAACGAAGTTGCCTCTTTTACCTACCCATCTACCTAGGCAGCATCGTTCCAGCCACAGGTGACACAGGCACACATTAGGACATCAAAGCCAGGATCGGAAGGATAGCAAAACACACCATCTTTTTTACTAATCTACGGAGATCAACGTGGAGATCTACTCCACTCTACTTCACTGCACTGCACTGCACTGCACTCAGCATAAACAACAAGACCTGGATTTTCAACACTAAATCAAGTCAGTGCTTCTATTTGATGGTTGAGAGATTTGGCGCGTCACGAAAAGCATTTCCAACAAACTGCAGACACTCATCACCAGCTGCCGCCTACGCTCACTCGATACTGAAGATTAGATGGCCAGAAAGAATAAGGAACAAGGAACTCTGGCAACGAACCAACGAAGAAGCTGTCGCACAATAACTATGCAGAAGAAGAAGGTGGAGATGGATTGTATTGGGCATCCACTCAGAAGACCGTTCGGGGACATCATGGGCAAGGCCCTAGAGTGGGACTCAAACGGGGAACGACGAGTTGGGCGTCGGAAGGTGAAACGGAGGAGATGGTGTGAAGAAGAAATGAAAGTTTCTGGGCAGTGGTAGGACCAGGTTG